CAACATTTGAATGTTTTTTATTTTCACTCAAAGTAACTCACGCCCCTTAGCGTACTAGGAGCCGCTGTCCTCCCGCTCTCTCGTAAGCGCATTGAGCCACTACTGCACCTAGCACCTAGACCGTCCGCCCTACTTTGACATGGGAGATCGTATTGACCTTGCAAACTGCACGCAGAAGCGCCTAGACTAGCTGAACTGCGCGAAAGCAGAGTCGAAATCGCCGCACTCACTGCAGAACGCACGTCACTGCAAAACGACATTGCAAGGGTGCAACAAGCACAGACACAAACACAAGGAGCAGCAGCACAAGGAGCACCATCCACCACCCAACACGAAAGTGTGGGACAATACTCGAGCGTTGCTAGTAATGGCGTTGCACGCAACGACATTCACGATGACCACGGAACGACACACCCCGGAGCGACGAACGCGGTTGGAAGTCAGCATCGCGTTAGCATTACGACGCATATCGACTAGTCGGCACTCTTTTCACCAATGCTAGTCAAGTTGCAACGTCCGCCATGCTTCGACCCGAGTCAATGGGGTGGCCCAGCGGTTCAGGCGTCTATCTTCATGACGAGTGTGTTTTTCGATGCGAACTTCGTCTTGTTGGATGCGGTGAGAGTTTGCTGCTTTGTGTCGTTACTGCAAGGACCCGCCATGTATTAGTCGCGCGTCATCGTAAGGAAGCCGAGCGACTACGAGGCTCTACTGAGAGGGTACGACTGCTTATGCCGGCTTGGCTAGCTTGCGTTGACTTTATTATGCTATTTCTAGCCTAGGTTTATTTTATCATACATAGCAATGCTTGATTTCCTAGGTTAGGTGCATTCCTATACCGAACTCAAGGCTTTCGGTTACCACTGAATTGCTTTCTACCGAGTTCGGGAAGGTTCCGTTCGGGATGCTTCGCGACCCTCAAAACGTCCACGTAACACCTTGGTTACGTGCCTTGTGTTGAGACTATATATAGCCTCGTGTTTGTTAGAGACTTAGGACGGAGTCAATGAAGATTATGGGCCGAAATATCACAAAATCGTTGGTCTCAATTTCTGGACAGAATAGTCGCGCTCACAAGAAACGCCGTCGACGAAAAACGCACTGACAAAACTTCACCAATTTCGGATATGTTGTATCTGTATTCCATGGCTACAATTCCCAAGTTGAAGTATTTTTTGAGTTATCAATTTCGGCGCACTAGGGGGTATGCTGCCATAGAATCTTAACTTAATCACAAAGTTCACACAATTACTACACAAGAGAGTTTGAGTAGCTAGAATCCAGGTAGGAGGTAGAGGAGGACGAGAGAGAAGGTCCCCAAGGAGTACCCAACCAAGGAAACCCCATAAGCACATCAAATCCTCTCCTTATAGCAACCCCAATTTTACCTTTGTCACTTTCCCAACCTCCACAATCCACCTCACCCAAGTTAGCCACACTTGCCAACCCAATTTGGTTTCTTCCAACCACTTGGCAGCATCTACTGTGATGGGGATGTGAAGAAATGAGGAACAAGTGAACTAGGAAATGAGTTGGGTACAAATATGCAACCCTAGAAAGTTGTACCCCATACTCTCTACCCCACTACAGCCTAGAAAGACTATAGCATAGAAGTTCGACACACCCCCATAGGCAAAGTGGGGGAGAACAAGGGGTCACAAGACCAGTCAAGCAAAGTACAGCAAGCTCAAGGTGGATCACAACGTCACCACAAATTCTGAGCACAAGTTCAAGGGCCACAAGGCCAGTTCACATGCAGGTATATGTATATAAAGCTAAACATGCAAGTGCAAGTATATATAGGTCAAAGTACAAGTAATGTCAAGCAGTGAGCAAGTGAGGTAAGGTAGGTACAAGACCTAACACAGTACAGAAGCGCTGATGATCACAAGGCGCGAGTGCCTTGGTGAAGATATCAGCAGTGTTGGCCTCAGAGGCCACGTAAGCAAGTCGCATCTGACCACAGAGCTGCAGCTCACGAGCAAGGAAATAGCGGAGAGCAATGTGCTTCATTCTGTGCTCTAGTCTATGCTCACGACACAAGGCCAGCATGGCCTTGTTGTCTACGTACAGAACTGGAGGAGAACGAGGCGGCACTCCGAGGTCGGTCAGCAGGTAGGTGAGCCAACATAACTCCTGTGTAGCCATGGCCCCTGCGTAAATCTCAGCCTCACAGCTGGAGCTGAGAACAGAAGTCGAGCGGGTAGACAGCCACGAAACAGAACCGGAACCAAGGCTGAAGGTGTAACCCTGTGACGATCGCTGCGTAGCCAGGTCGTCAACCCAAGACGCGTCTGCGTGACCAATGAGGACCACTGGACTGCGCCCTCCAAGCACTAGCCCCATGCCCGACGTACTGCACAAGTAGCGCAACACCCTCTTCGCTGCAGCCATGTGCTCAGGGAGGTGTCCCCCAGGAGCAACATAGCGTGCAAGAATGCTAACAGGGTATGCAAGGTCAGGTCGTGTGCAGGTCATCAGGTACATGAGGCAGCCAACAAGCTCTGGGTATGGGCCACTCGACTCTATGGACTCATCCGAAGGCTGAGCTGAGAGTGAGTGGCGAGTAGGCAGAGGAGTGGCTTGAGCTGAGGAGTACGTGAAGCCGAAGCGCTGAAGGACCTGCTGCACCATGTGTGACTGAGTTAGGGTAATGGTGCGGCGTGCTCTGTCCTGGGTGATCTACAAGCCAAGGTAGCTGCGCAGTTCACCCAGGTCGGACTTCACGTAGGCGAGTCCAGTAGTGTCAGCTGTGGCAAAGACCAAGTCGTCGACGTACACGAGGATGCAGACGCAGCAGTGGACTCAAAGGAAGGGTCAGTGACGACAGTAGCAAGGAGACGCGTGACAGTAGGACTGGCAGCACGAATGGAGTCCGACTCCGGGTCAGCAAGAGCAGGAAGAGAGGACTCAGGAGGAGAAGGCAAAGGGGCACGCAGTGGAGCAGTAGTAGGACGCAGAGACATCCGGTGCGTCCCGGGGACAGGAGGAGGACACGGACGCGAGCTACGACCACTAGTGCGAGCAGCAGGGACAGGCAACGCATGACGAGACGCAGGCTCACGCCGCTCAGCAAGACCTCCAGTAGGACCAGTGTAGGGAGAAGGAGTAGGCAGTGGGGAGGCTGGCTGTAACTGTGACTCAGACTGGACAGGCGGCGGACACTCTAAGGGAGGAGCAGGACCAGGAGAGAACGGAAGACCAAGAACCTGCTGAAGAAGCGGAACGAAGTACGGCCGCGGCCGCGCAGCGCCACCAGAACCAGCAGGAGCAGCACCAGCACCCCCAACGGCAGCACCAGCACCAGTAGCACCCCCAGCTCCAGCAGCGCCAAATCCAGCACCACCAGCACCCTCAGTAGCACCAGCAGCTCCAGCACCAGAAGCACCCGCAGGCCCAATAGCTCCTGTACCCTCAGGACGAGCACCTCCGGGTGCCGCGGCACCAGCACCTTCAGCAGCAGTAGGACCTCCAGCACAGCAGTAGGACCTCCAGCACCAGCAGCACCTCCAGCTCCAGCAGCACGGCTCCAGCGCCGAGCAAACCACTCGTGCAGCTCCTGTGGAGAGAGGAGCTCTTGCCGGGACGAAGCACCCGAAAGACCCCCAAGCCCAGTCCCGCCAGATTCAACACGAGCAGGCGCAGCACCCCCAGGATCCGCACCACCAGGCTCAGCACCCCCAGGCTCAACACCCCCAGTCTCAGCACCCCCACGCTCAGCACCCCCAGAGTCAGCACCCCCAGGCTCAGCACCCCCGGACCCCGCACCCGCAGGCTCAGCACCCCTAGCAGCACCGGAGTCCACTGCTACCTCGACAGGCTCGACTGCATCTACCTGGGACACACTTGAGGGGGCAGGACCTTGAGGGGGAAGGGGGTCTACCGGGGGGGGACCTGGTGCGAGGAAGAGCGGCGGCGGTGGGAGGGACGCAGTGCGGTAAGGGAAGAGATGGTAGTAGGGAACCGACTCGTCAAATGTGACGTCCTGAGAGGACAGAACACGGCGCGAGGTGGGGTGGTAGAACTGCTTACCTTGCGCGTCAGGGGGGAAGCCAAGGAAGACGCAGGGAACAGCACGTGGGGACAGCTTGTCCGCAGACAAGTCGCGGACAAACGCCCGAGATCCCCAGACACGGAACGCAGACGCATCGCCAACCTTCCCTTTCCACCTCAGAGAAGGGGAGGCCTCCGGCATGGAGACGCGGGGCTGAAGGTTGATCTGATGCGCCGCGTACTGAACCGTGAACGGCCACAGAAAATGGGGGGCAGCCACATGGATCATGGACGTACGAGCGACGTCCATGACCATGCCAATGCGGCGCTCAACAATCCCGTTTTGCTGTGGAGAGGCCGGAAGCGTAAACGTCTGGCGGATGCCTCGTGCACGACAGAAGGCTCGCAGAAGGTCAGAGGAGAACTCCCCGCCTCTGTCGGAGTGCAGACGCAAAACATGAAAGTCCGAGCCGAAACTCTCTCTGAGGTGGAGACGAGCTGCGCGGATCCAGTCGATCAACACCCTAGTAACCTCACCCTTGCTGCGCAAGGGGAAGACTGTGGTGTAACGCGAGTAGTCGTCAACCACCAGCAAGAAGTAACGCTCGTGACCCTATCCACGGACGCGGGCTGGGCGGGGAGTACGACGGCTTATGCCAGCTATGTGTGCTTGCCTTACTTTATTATGCTATTTCTAGCATAGGATAATTATATGCATGCATGAATTGCTTGATTTCCTAGGCTAGGTGCTTTCCTATATTTTATTATAGTTATAGCACCGAGCTAGGTTGCGTGCACCGAATTCTGGCTTTTCGGTTGCCACCGAACTGCCTTCTACCGAATTCGGGAAGGATCTGTTCGGGACGCTTCGCGACCCGTGGAACCTTCTCATAACACCTGGTTACGGGGCCTTGTGTCGAGCCTATATATAGCCTCGTGTTGTGCCCAGGTGATTCATTCAATTCGATTCAATTCACATTCTTTTTTCTGAGCTCGATCCTAGATCCTCACAGACGCAGGGAACGCAGGTAGGGGCAGGCCCTGGAGGAAGAGGAGGGAGGGACCGGGGAAGACCAGAGAGAAGGACGCGGGAGGCCATGCCTCGAAGATAAGGCAGGGAGGGGTGACCAAGGCGGTGGTGCCAGAGGAGAGTCTGATGAGACAGGAGACGAAACGAGCAGGGGGCAGACTCAGGACCAGACCTGGACGCCGCAGCAGACGCCTGACCCGACGCAGCTACCTGACCAGACGCAGTAGCCTGAGGAGGACCAGTAGTCAGTGTGTACAGGCTCGACCCCGGTCGACAGGTAAACGTGGCCAAGTGTCGGCCCGTCTGAGCACACGTGAAGTGGGTCACTCGCTGACTCCTAGGAGTGAACTGGTGAACCCCCCCATCGTGTTGATCCGCACCACTCACCAAGTTCGTAGAGAACGAGGGGAGGTAAAGACCTGACAGGGTGTCAGAGGGGGCCGCCGGACACGGTAAGACAGTGGAGAAGTGGGGAAGGACAGGACCCCCTGAGGGGTCTGCCATGGAGACCGCCACTGGCCGACTAAGCGGCGTGAGTGTGGTGCGGTCTCCAAAGAAGGAGCGGGAAGCACCTAGTCAAGGGTGAAGGTGTGGGAGGCCTGCGCTGACGTGGGAGGCAGACTCACCAGCACCTGGGGCAGCAGACTCACTAGCACCTAGAGCAGCAGCCTCAACAGCACCTAGAGCAGCAGTCCCAATGCCCAGGCCAGGCGGAACACACAAGTAACATTCACCCTCATCACTAGTAGACACAGCATACATGGCAGCAAGAATAGCATCATAGTCAAGATCAAAGATAGCAACCCCCGCCCTAGACAGCTCTCCCCAGCGAGGGATCTCAGTGGCGTCAGGGAACTGGTGACGCCAAGCGTCCGTCAGGCGGCCGAAGCAGCGCTGGGTGCAGTGCGAGCCCCCGCACTGCTCACCAGCGCAATCGCCGGTACAGAGGACGTAGGTACAGGGACTAGCACCCCCACCCCGCTGACGCCCAGCGTACCACTCACAAAGCTGCTGGGGGGACGGGGTCTCACGAGTGCGCTGCTACTGCTGGCGCTGACCACCACCGGAGCCACTCCTCTGCGCAGGGCTGCGACCAGCTCCACCGCTGCCGCCGCCACCTTCGCCGCCTCCGCCACCTCCGCCTCCTCCGCTCCCACCGCCACCACCGCCGCCTCTTCCGCCTCCACTGCTGCCACCGCCAACCCCACCCCCGCCACCACTCCCACCACCACCCCCACCCCCTCGACTGCCTCCACTGCCACCTCCACCGCCCCCGCCAGCTCCTCCAGCGCCCCCGATCCCCTTGCACTTGCCGGTGCGGCGTCTCCCGCCAGGTGCAGACGTAGCTCCGACCGACTCAAGGCTAACGAGGTCGGCCGCAGCAGTAGAGGCAATAGAGGGCAAGAGGGGGGAGGGGGAACACCCCTCAAAGACGGGGGTACGAGGGTCACCATGAGAGGCTCCTACAGCGACTATGCTCTTCTCTTCTGCCAGGAGGCACTCTTCGAGGAGGTCAACGGTGAGTGTGGTGGGGCAAACTTAGAGGAAGTGGTCCCTGACTAAGCGAAGGGAGTCAGGGAGCCGGGTGACTATGTAGTAGAGGGTGATGTACATGGGGGAAGGGTTCTTGTCACAGAACTCAGCAGGAAGCGCAGCGCGGTAGCGAGTGTCACTAGTGCGAAGGTGCGTAATGAGGTCAGCGACTGTGGGAAAGGCAGCAAGGTCAGGGAACAGGTACGGCAGTATGAGGCGGCTAAGTGCAGCAGTGGCAGGGGAAGAGTAGCGTGCAACTACAGCGTCGTACAAGGTCTTAGCACTCTTGTACTGACTAAAGTGCGAATGCTCAGCGGTCAGTAAGTGGCGACGTACAGCAAGACGGGCAGCAGCATCGCGTGTGGCCCACTGTGAGCGAACAGTGCTGTCAGCATCAGCAGGCAGGGCAGGAGAGGCACCGGAGGTGAGATTGAACAGGGAGAGTCCGTCGGCCCTACCGCACTGTAGGAAAAGCTGCAGGTCATCAACCCAGACCTCGAAGTCAACAGCACGACCCTCAGCATCAAAGGTAAGGATACTAGGGGTAGCCATGACAGCAGTGGTCTAGCAGGGAGTGCTCTCACCAGTCCGGGTGGGTAGGGCCGGTTCGCGCTGGTAGGAACAGGGCCGCAACTGCGGCGGCGGCGGCTCGACAGTGGTAGTAGCGGCTCGGCGGTGGCGGCAGCTCGGCGGCGTCTCGGCGGCGGCTCGGCAGTGGCGGCTCGGCGGCTGTGGCTTGGTATTGGCCGCTCGACGGAGGCGGAGGCGGCTCGGCGTCTCGGCGGCTCGGCGGTTCGGCGGCTCGGCGGCTTGGCTGCTTGGCAGCTCGGCGGCTCGGCGGCTGTGGCGACCAAACGGCAGTGGCGGCTGCAGCTCCGACTCCGGCGGTGGCAGGGCCGGGGCAGGAGCGGCGGCGGCAACGGCGGTGAAGGGGCCGGGGAGGGGCCGAAAGGGGCGGCGACGGGGCCGCAAGGGGCGGCGACGGGGCCGCTAAGGGCGGCGACGAGGCCGCAAGAGGGCGGCGACGGGGCCGCGAAATGGCGGCGTTGGGGCCGCAAAAGGGCGGCGACGAGGCCGCAAGAGGGCGGCACTGGGGCCGCGAGAGGGCGGCGACGGGGCCGCGAAAGGGTGGCCCATACTGTCTACCCCACTACAGCCTAGAAAGACTATAGCATAGAAGTTCGATAGGGGACGAATTTCCCAACCCTCAAAAGTCTGTATCCCATATTGAGTCAACCCCACAATCTCCCGTAGTCACCACAACCAAATATCAAAAGCATACGAACTTCCAACGTTCGTAACTTTCTTGTTCGTGCTCCGATTGAAGAGATACTTGGCTCGTCAGAAAGCTCTTGAGCAGAGGAGTCAATTCAGATATCTTCTCAAGCCAAAAAAAATTCACACACACTCAGAAAAACCAAACCACATCAAACACAAATTCTTGTACACGCTCACACCACGCATGCAACGCACGAACATGTGATTGGAGGTAGACAGACGTGAATGCAAGTGATAGCATCACATAACTAACTCCCCCTCTGGCTGCATACCATCATCCTACTTGCCATAGCTCAATCATGCACCCTCAATGCACACTCATCCCAACAAGCTTCATGCGCTTGGTGAGAATGTCAGCCGCCTGCTGATGGGTCTTCACAATCTCCAGCCGCACCTCCTTGTCCAGGAGCCTCCTCACCCAGTGCCACTTGGGCCTGATGTGCTTCGTCAGCCCATGAAGGCAAGCATTCTTGGCTAACTTCACTGGCGACTCATTATCACAAAACATCACAGTCGGCTCCTTCTGGCACATTCCGATCTCCTCCAACAAAAGCCTCAGCCACACTACCTCCTTTGCCCCATGATGTAGGGCCATGTACTCTGTCTCAGACGAGGACTGACCCACCTCGTTCTGCTTCTTGCTGCGCCAACTCACTGCACCAACTCCGAACGGGCACACATAGCCTCCAATGCTGGTGCCATCCGCCTTCACAGGGTTGAAGCTAGCGTCAGTGTAGCAGGTCAGTAGCATCTCCCCCTTGCTCAAATCAGTAGCACCCCGCTGCTGCCTTTGCCTCATCACTATACTCCAAACCCACAGATGTTGTAGCGCTCACATAGCGGACCAACCTCTTGGCCGCTTCCAGCTGCTCATGACTGGGGCGTGAAACCACACTGGCAAGCCTGGATGTTGAAAAGGCAATGTCAGGCTGCGTGTGGTTGGCCGCATATTTGAGCGCCCCAACCATGGAATGAAACATCTTTCTATCACTCTCACCCACCACCACCTCATCAGCACAGGGCTCCACTGTGAACCCTGAAGGCAGTGGGGTGGCTGGCTTCCCTCCATCTTGTAGCCCATACTTATCGGCCAGCCCCTCTCAGTACTTCCTTTGGTGCAACCTCAACACTCCCTTGTCGAGGTCCCTCTCCACATGCATCCCTAAGCACTTCACGTCTCCCATCTTCGAGCATTTGAACTGCATCTCCAGCATCTCCTCCACACGGTCAATCATTGCAGATGATTCAAAGAAAAGCAGGATGTCGTCCACATATACCAAGAGCATGAGAAACTGCTCCTTCTCTTGCAGTAGGAACAAGTTGTGGTCGCACTCACTCTTCTTGAACCCCCCAGCCAGCAGTGTCTCCTCCAGCTTGTGGTACCATGCCCGAGGAGCCTGCTTCAGGCCATAGATGGCCTTCTTCAGCCTGCACACCCTGCCGCTCCCATCATCCAATCCCTCAGGCTGTAACATGTACAGCTCCTACAGAATGATCCCATTGAGGAAGGCGGTGGTAATGTCCATCTGCTTCACCCGCCATCCACGGTTTGCAGCCATTGCCAATGACACGCGTAGTGTTGTGCCTTTCCCCATAGGAGCAAAGATCTCGTCAAAGTCCTTCCCTTTTGTCTTCTGAAACCCCTTAGCCACAAGCCTTGACTTGTAGCAGGTCAGCGCCCCATCAGGTCCGTACTTGCGCCTGAAAATCAGCTTGGAAGAAATGGCCTTCTTCCCAGGAGGCAGCTCACACAGCTCCCAAGTCTCATTCTCTAGCAGAGAGTCATACTCCTCCTTCACACTCTGCTTGGGCATAGGGACGGCTGCCCAGTAGCAGTGTGCTATCTCATCCTCATCACACTGCTCAGCCACACTCCCAGTCCATACCACCTATGGCTTGCCAAAGCTCGGATAGGTCTGCCGGTTAGGAGGGCGCACATCCCTCCTAGGACGATCAGCCAGACGTGCGGCACCTTGTGGAGCACCTTGCTGCTGCTGCTGCGGCTGCTCTTGCTGCTGCTCCTCCACCTCAGGTTCTCCCCCATCCTCAGTCACCCCAGAAATCTCCTCCTCTGAGACAGTGACCTGCACTTGCCTTGAAGGCCGCTGCACCTCATCAGCCTCAATGATCAGCGGTGTAGTAGGAAGCTTTTGCTGCTGCTGCTTCCACTCCTTGTAGTATAAGGACTCGAGGAACTTCACGTCCCTCGACACAGTCAGTAGTATAATGACTCGAGGAACTTCACGTCCCTCGACACAGTCAGCTGCTGGCTGGTCAATTCCCAAATCAGCCAGCCCTTGTGATCCTTAGGAAGTCCCAAGTGCACACCCCATCTCCCAGAAGCTTCCAGTTTTCTCCTCTTCTCCTTAGGCAGATGAAACACCACCATGCAGCCATAGGCTCTCAGCATGTTGACAGCTGGTGCACTCCCATACCACTTGGTGTAGGGGACCCACTGCTTGTCTCCCACAGTCGCCAACACCCGGTTCTTCACAAGAGCGACCTGCCGCAGTGCAGTCACCCAGAACGGATCTGGCAGCCTTGCACGCCCAAGAAGAGTGCGAGCACCTTTCTGCAGGGTCCGGCTGAACCGCTCAGCCACGCCGTTCTGCTGAGGGTTGTAGGGCACCGTGAGCTGATGCCGGATCCCCTTCTTCTTGAGCACCGCCTCAAAATCAGCGCCAATGAATTCTCCCCTGTTGTCAGTGCGGATCACCCTCACTTTGTGTCCGTTCTCCCTTTGAGCTCTCGGCATCCACTCCTTAAGAACAGCCGCTGCCACCTCCCCCTTAGTCTTGAGAGGGTACACCCACACTGCACGTGTGTGGTCGTCCACAATGGTGAGGAAGTAGCGGCTGCCCGAGAGAGAAAGGGCCCTCGTGGGGCCCACCACATCCATGTGCACAAGCGCAAGTGGAGCCTTGGCTGGTCCTGTGCTGCTGCTGAAGGGAAACTTTGTGAATTTGGTCTCAATGCATGTAGGGCAGCTCCCAATCTCCTTCGCTGCCCCCTTCACCTCCAACCCCTTCAAGCTCCCATCCTTAACCAGCTTATACAGCATAGGAAAATTCACATGGCCTAGCCTTTCATGCCATGTCTCCCAATCGGCCTCACCACTCCCAGGCGAAGCCTTTGCCCATGCAACGCTCCCATCCACACCAGCAAGCACCTCACCATGTGGCTGTTGTGGCTGCTGCACCTTCTTGACTGCATCCAGGGCCCCATCAGTTGGTGTCTCCTCTCCTCTCGCAGTTGCTTTAGCCATTGCTGCTGCCGCTGCCGTTGCTGGTGGTTTCCCATTCCAAGGAATGATGGGCAGCTGCCATAGGTCCTTGATGCAGCTGCTCTTCTCCTCCAAATCCCACAGCAGCAACTTCCCAAGCTTTGCACGTCAGCTGGTTGGGCCGAAGGACACTTTGGCCTTGATTTTCTGCAGCAAGCGCACAGAGAGAAGGTTAGCGGACAAAACTTCTACCACCAACACATTCCCCAGCCCCACAAGCTCCCCTTTAGCTCCCATTACCTTGGCATTCCCCACACCAATCACAGGGAGCAAAGCACCTGAAGCGGCAGCAACAAACTTGATATTCCCAGGGGGTTTTACCTTGTCAAGCGAATCTGCCCATGGGGTCATGTGACTTGT